GTAAAGTAATGTGGGCCTGGGCCCATTTCAGTTGGAAAGATTTTAGCTAGCAATTCAATTTCTCGACTTATTACAGGTTTATTCACTTTATAGCTTTGTTTTTAAATCCATTTTGGTGATTTGTGTCTTTCTAGGAATTTTTCCATTTTATCTATGTTGTCTAATTTGTTAGAATCAATGTGTTCATAATATTTTCCTATAATCCTTTTAACTTTTGTTTAGTCTGTAGTGATTCCCCCTTTTTTTTTTTTCTTTTAAGTAGGCTGCACACCCAGCACAGAGCCCAACGCAGGGCTTGAACTCATGACCCTGAGATCAAGACCTGAGCTGAGCTCAAGAGCCAAATGCTTAATCGACTGAGCCACCCCAGTGCCCCAGTGATTTCTTTTTTGCTTCCTGATTTGGTAATTGGCTTTTTCTTTTTTATTTTCATGTATAGTCTAACTTAAGATCTGTCAATTCTATTGATCTTTTTAAAGAACCAACTGGTTTTATTGATTTTTCTCTGTGCATGTGCGTGTGTGTTTTCCATGTCATTGATTTCTGTTCTAATCTTTATTATATCCTTTCTTCTGCTTACTGTGGATTTCACTTACTCTTCTTTTTCTAGTTACTTATGGTGAAAGCTTAGGTTATTGATTTGAGGTCTTTCTTCTTGTCTAATATAGGGCATTTAAAGCCATAATTTTTTCTTTAAGCACTGCTTTAGCAGCATCTTATAAGTTTTGATGTGTTTTGTTTTCACTTGTATTTAATTCAAAATATTTTCTTTTTTTTTTTTAAAGATTTTATTTACTTATTTGACAGAGAGAGAGATAGTGAAAGCAGGAACACAAGCAGGGGGAGTGGGAGAGGGAGAAGCAGGCATCCCGCTGAGCAGGGAGCCCGACGTGGGGCTCGATCCCAGGACCCTGGGATCATGACCCAAGCCGAAGGCAGACGTTTAACGACTGAGCCACCCAGGCGCCCCTCAAGATATTTTCTAATTTCTCTTGTAATTTCTTCTTTGTATTATTTAGAAGTGTATCAAAATGTTTGGAAATTTCAAAATGTTTGGAAATCTCCCAGATTTCTTTCTGTCATTAATTTCTATTTAATTCTATTGCTCAGAGAACAAACTTTGTATGATTTCTTACATACATAAAACTTGTAAATTTATACGGATTTGTTTTGTGGCCTAGCTATATGGTCTGTCCTGGAGGATATTCAGTGCACTTGACAAGTATGGTGTGTGGTCATTGGGTAGAGTATTCTATGTCAATCAAATTGCTTGATCTTCTGCACCCCTGTTGATTTTCTGTTTAGGTATTCTATCAATTACTGAGAGTGGACCATTGCAATCTCCAGCTATTCAATTTTGTTTTTCTTCATGTATTTTCTTCTTTCTGTTGTTAGGCCCATATACATTTATAATTGTTGTATCTTCCTGGTGTGTTGACCCTTCACAATTTGTAATTTCCTTCTTGGTCTCTAGTCATATTTCTTGTCTTAAATTATATCTTATCTCTTATCTGATATTAATTTAGCTACCATCTCTCTTATTGTTACTATTTGCACGGTATTATTCTCTTCCTTTGGGTGCTCTCCATTCCCCACCGCACATGTGTGTTGCGTCAGCTAGAAACGCACTTGCCCCAGCTGTGACCAAAAGCTCAGGCTAGTGGAGCTGTTGGGCCTCCCTGCTCAATCCCCCTGAGAAGGTCACCTCTGCTGCTAAACATGAGCACGGCACACTGCTCCGAGTCACAGGCACCCCTTTCTATCACAACAGAGCATCTGGGGGTCCTCACAGCAACCCCTGCCCTGAAAGAAGCTCACCAAGCAAGCAGGAAGAGTATCAGAGCAACTGGAGGCCAAAACCCCACCGAATTCCACCGTGGTCAGCAGCAGCTCAGCAGTTTTTCAAGTATAAAAGCCTCTCAGTTTAGTACATACCTTTGGCCTTTCCAGAGTGCTAGAATAGTTATTTTTGTGGATTTTGTTCAATTTTATAGTTGCTTTTTGGGGGGAGAGGACTTGATGATCTCCTCAGTTGGCCATAGTCAGACATCTCTCCCAGGGACACATGCATTTGCACTCACTGCCTGGCAAGTTCCACAAAGCAGGGATTTCCGTCTCTTTTCTTCACCGTTGGACTACTCTAGATGACGATCTGGTAGAGCGTAAACTCTCAATAAAAGAAGTTTGCATTTTGATTTTAGTAACAGGGTTCCTCTGGATCCCAAATTCAGCAGCAGCAAAACAAAGCAGTCAGGTATAGGGACTGTTGGGGCTGAAAACAGGATCTGCCAGGGACATCCAAATTCACATTTAACTTAAGTTTTTATGAAGGTAATTGTAGATTCACATACAGTCATAAGAAATAAAGCAGAGATCCTGGGTACACTTTACCCATTTTCTCCCAGCAGTCTCCCAAGAACCAGATTTTGATTCACTGATTTTTCTCTATTGTCTTGCTATTTTCAATTTCATCAGTTTATGCTTTGATCTTTATCATTTCATTCCTTCTGTCTGCTTTAGGTTTATTTTGCTCTTTTCCTAATTTCCTGAGGTGAGATTTCCCAATTGTTGATTTGAGGGCTTTCCTAATTTCTTATGTAAGCATTTAATGCCATGTATCTCCCCTCTGCACTGCTTTAGATGCATCCCACATGTTTTGTTATGTTTATTCTCATTTTTGGTCAATTCTCTGTATTTTTTTATTTCCTTTGAGACTTCCTTTTTGATCCATGTATTATTTTTAAAGTGTGTTGTTTCATTTCCACATGTTGTATGATTTCTATTGCTTTAAATTGTTGAGGTTTGTTTTAAAGCCCAACATTTGGTCTAAGATAGACTAGATCTTATGGTGAATGTTCTGTGGGGGCTGGAAATACAAGTGTTCTGCTGTTGGTGGTCCAAGTGTTCGATATGTATCAATTTGGTCCTGTCAGTTGATTGTGGTGTTTAGATCTTCAATACCCTTGCTAATTTCCGTCTAGAAGGTCTACTGATGGCTGAGAGGGGTTGCTGGAGCTGCCAACTGTAACTGTGGATTTATCCATTTCTTCTTTCAGCTCTCTCGGTTTTTGCTTTATGTAACTTTGTGGTTCTTCTGTTTGGTGTGTATACATTTAGGATATTTGTCTTCCTGGTGGATTGATCCTCTCATCATTATCTAATATCTGTCTTTGTTTCTAGTAAGTTTCTCTGCTCTGAAGTCTATTTTATCATATTATTAGTATACCCACTCCTGATTTGTTTTGGTATTGTTTATGTGGTATAAGTTTTTCCATCCTTTTATTTCAACCTACCTAAGTCACTGTGTTTGAAGTGAATTTCTTGTAAAGAGCATGTAGGTGGGTTGTGTTATTTTTAAATCCACTCTGTCAATCTCTATCATTGGACTGATATATTTAAACTGTTTTAAGTTTTAAACTATGTAAGACAAACAGTATGTTAGCAGTTAAGTCTGCCATTTTATTATCTGTCTTCTGTTTATTTCCTGTGGTTATCATTCCTCTGTTCCTTTAATTTACTGGAACACATTTTAGGATTCTAGCTTTATTTTTCTATACTGTTTTTGAGTGCATTTTTTTCATAGTCACTTTAATGGTTGCTTTGAGCATGATAAATAAATGTGTGACTTACCAAATTTCACTTTCAATGAAGTATAAAAAGCTCACTCCTATTTAGGTAACTTGCCCCTCCCCACTTCTAAATATCTTAATGCTCTTCCTGAGTATCAGATGGTTTTGTAATTTTTGTTTTGATTATAAAATATTATTTTTAAAACTCATGAGGAAAAGAAGAGCTTACTTATGGACCCATATTTCTGCACTACTGTTCCTTCTTCCATCCTAATGTATCAAGTCTTTTTCTTCTATTTCAAGAATTTATTTTAGCCTTTCTTTTAAAGTAGGCCTGACAGTGACAAATTCATTCAGTTTCCCTACATCTGAGAATGTCTTTATTTCCCCTTTATTCCTAAAGGACAGTTTTGCTGGATATAGAATTTGTAGTTGACGGTTCTTCTCTTTCAATATTTGAAAATGTGCCACTTCTTGGGCTGCCTGGTGGCTCAGTCTGTTAAGTGCCCAACTCTTAATTTCAGCTCAGCTCATGATCTCAGAGTCGTGAGATCAAGCCTCTCATCAGGCTCTGTGCTTAGCAAGAAGTCTGCTTGCGATTCTCTCTCTCCCTCTGCCCCTCCACCCTCCACCCTGCTCATGCACTATCTCTCTCCTTCACTCTCTCTCTAAAAGAAAGAAATAAATAAAATCTTTTAAAAAAGAAAATGTGCCACTTCTTTCTGCCTTCCATCGAATCAAAGGAAAACTACACTGTCATTCAAATTTGTTCCCTGTAAGTAATGCATCGTTCCTCTCTGGTTGCTTTTAAGATTTTTTTTCTTTGTCTTTCATCATTTTCTTCTTACCACCTTTCAGAGTCCTCCTGTGGTTGTCTCTGACATTATTTTCAGGGTTTACGGTTGTGCTTAGCAGGGAAGAGCAGGGAAAAACTGACCTCTGCCATTGTGTCTGAACCAGAAGTCTCAAATTTCTAAACTCTGAATTTGCAATATCTACTATAAGTGTTATGTTATCTGTGAGGTGTGTTCTACCAGCTAGAAGGCTAGCATCTCAGCACATATATTTCTAATGGCCACATTCTGCAGAGCAGGGCATAGGGCAAGCAGGCACTGGTGGAAGGGAATTAAGAGGATCTGTGGTCAGAAGGCATCAAAGTGGTTCAGTCCAGCTGCTAGCTTCTTCCTAAACAGGGAAAACAGTCCTCCGAACCAGCATGAGCCATATTTTCTCTGGACCCTCTGGGGGTGATAACCAGAGTCTGGAATCTAGAAACATGCTAGTGCATGAAGAACACACATTTTTAGGCCAATCTGCAGACTAATTTGCAGACCCTTAAGTAAAGATACAAATTTTGCCAATTTCTTGGTAATATCAATAGAAAGTAAAATATCAGAGTTTCATTTGAAAAAAGAAAGAAAATATTCCTACCTGTTCTGAGGACATTTCACCAAATAATGTCTTGCTGTAAAAAGAAAAGAAAAGAAATAGAAGATGGTAAATAAGTGTTACTCTAGATATATATGCTCCAGGAATCCCCAGGAAATGTAGGTGCCCAGGCGTTGCTCAGATGTTGGGACAAGCCTCTTCTTGGGGCTTTCATACTTCTCTTTGGATGAGTACTGCAGAACCATAGCACAGATGCCACATTGACTCGATAATATTCCACACCTAGATTGAGCCAGGCATGAAACCATACACCCCAGACCTCCTAGTTTGATATCCCAAAACAGTCATTTTTTTTTCCAAGCCAGGTTAAGGTGGGTTCCAACCTGGAAGGTCCTGGAGTAACAGTCACCCAACTTCAAAGCTCTGCCTTATTCATGAGAAAGACTTTGGGGATAACCTGTTTCCACTTAGATGCTCCTCTCTGTAAACTGGCTTTTTGTTCTCTGATCAACGCCCTTCCAGGGGGGCCCTTGGAAAAACAGTCTTAGAGCAAGACATCCTCCACAGTAGGTCTCATTAAAAAAAAAAAAAAAAAAAAAACAGATTCTAGCAGCAGAGGAAAAATAAGAATACCTAGGCAGTTATCCTAATAGGTATCCAATCTAAGCTCACAACTGAGTTCACTTCAAATAGAAGTAAAGCCATGGGCCGCGGAGTCGGGTCATAGATCATTACATCGATGGCCCCAATGAATCACACCTCCCTGTGTCTATCTACAGCCCTGTGAAACTCCGCCCCCACACTGGGCTTGGCCGCCAGATGTGCTTTGGCCAATGAAACAATAACCAATATGTCACAAGCAAAGGCATAACAGGTCCCTGTGCTCTGAGGTTTGCTCATTTGCTCTTTCTCTCATTGCAGGGAACTCTTCTGCTACCGCATAATGAAGCCTGGCTAGCCTACTGGGAGATGAGACCACATTGAACAGAAGCAAGTCATCCCAGTGAGGCCCCAAAGCAGCCAGGCCCCAGCTGATCCACCAGCAGGCTGCAGCTGCAGGAACGACTCCAGCGAAGACCAGAAGAAATGCTCAGCTAAGCCCAGCTGAAATCGCTGACCTACAGAATTGTGAGCGAATAAAATCGTTGTTTTAATCTACTACACTTGGCAGTGATCTGTCCTGTAGGTGACCAGGGTAGGTTCCAGACCAGCATGACAGTCTCAGCTGTAGAGAGGGCTTTTTAGGTTTACCTGTTACAACCCCTTATTAGTGCATAAACTCTTTCTGCATCCTGTTTACTAAGCACCTACTCTGTGCTGGATAATTTACAGATGTAGCAATAATAAAACCATAATTAGTATTTAGTGAACACTTCATATGTTCCTGGCCTAACTCTAGGCTTATTAAATAAATCAATGATCATTTGTCTGGGGTTTGCAAACCAGTGGGCACTCCTAGGAAGGGCAGTTTTAAGGAAATCAGTTTCTAGATCCTCACCTAGCATGGTGTTCTTTCCTCAGAATTCATTCTTCCAGAACATGCCTGAGCTCTAGCTGTATCCCTTTCCCTCCCTTCTCCATCACATCACTGTTTCTTTCCACAAAATCGAGGCACACCTCTTGCCCATCCTGACTTAGACTATGGAGGTAAAAAACAGGAGGCACCGAATGAGAAATGATTTGAAATGTTGGGGCCAGTGCTGAGAAAGCAAATGACTAATGACTGGGCAACTAAACCTTTCACCAGCAGAGAGGTTTCCAATATTTTGCTTTCGACAAGGATTAAATAGTGACCTAATCCAGTTGTCAGCTGGTCAAGTGTTAAAAATCATTTTCAATGATAGATCATATACCCTTGCATGAATCTGCTTCGTAACAGAATTCAGCATCATTTCTATTCTTAGTAATAGAATTCAGCATCAATTCCATACTTTAAAAAGTAGGAATAGAAATGATGCTGAATTCTGTTATGAAGCAGATTCATGCAAGGGTATACGAAGTAAAATAAAAATTTATTTTAATAAAAATACATTTCCAATAAAATGGTCTTCTTATGATTGATTATCCAAACTGATAATATCTATGGAGTTTTGATTAGTTTTATACTCATTTTCCAAATCTTACTAATGGTGCACTATTAATAACTCAATACAGAAAAAAAAATGTAATACCTAGAAACTTATGGAATAAAGAAATTTAAAATTTCTTAATTTAAACTTGTACACACATTATTTTTACAGAGAAGTGTAAACAAAAAAATTGTATTAAAGTGGGATAAAATTTGGTGGGGGAAGTAGATTGAAGATAGAAGTTCAAGGAGAAAAAGGACTGACATATAATTTCTAACAGCTAAAGCATGTTCATAGAGTCTTTTTAAATAAAGAGAGGTAGTTACTAAATTCATGACATTTAGATGTGAAAGAGATTTAACCATTTCATTTTAAGATGTCAATATTTGTGATGCCCTGGAAATTACCTCCTTTGCAACAATTTACATTTATGATGAAAAAGTTTAGACATCAACAAAAAATGTTCAAGGGTGCATAGTTTTTGAAATGCTTTTAGGTGCTATGCCAGCAAAAACGTTTGAAGACCACAACTTTGCATTTGAATTCAATCTTCACAAAAACTTTGTCATTGCACCTAATTCTACAGTGGAGGGCACTGAGGCACAGAGAGATTAATGACCTTGATTAAGGTCACACAGAGGTGTTATGGGCTGAGCTGTGTCCCTCTTATGTTGAAGACCTAAAACCTAACACCTCAGAATGTGAATTAGTTGGAGATGAGGCCTTTCAACAGGTGATTCAGTTAAGATGAGGTCACTGGGGTGGGCCCTAATCCAACATGACTGATGTCCTTCTAAGAAAAAATTAGGAAACAGACAAGTGCAGAGGAAAAACCAGGCGAAGACACAGGGAGGGGACAGCCACCTAGAAGCTTTACTACGGCAGCCCAAGCAAACTAACACACCTAGGAAGGGACAAAACTGGGCAGCCTGACTCGAGAGCCCTCTTGTGTCTACCCCTTACCATCCTCAGAGATACTGGGCGGCTGGTATTAGAGCTCCTATAGACGAAGAGAATAAGTCTCAGGAGAAACGGCTGGCCCACTGTGCCACAGCTGGGTAGGGCAGAGCTGGGGCTAGAGTCCTAGGGAATCCATGCACTGACCTGTATTTTGGGAAATCCAGTCCAGGGGCAGTGAGGTGAGCAGCCTGGAGATCAGGAAGCCAGGGAGCAGGAGGGCAGGCCCGGGGGACTCCTAATAGTTGGCCACAGGGGAGGGGGCTGACTCAGGAAGACCAGAGCCCAGGGAGGATGGTCAGTGCCGGGCACAACATATGCACCTCAGCCAACACATGCTGACCGATGTTTATAAGGTCTCAGACTGGTAAACACAGGGCCGATGTCCCTTTAATGAGAGGGACTGCCCAGGGAACCAAAAGTAATCCTGCATACCAAACATTAAGACTTATGTGCATCTGAGAAATAACCCTTGCCCAGAGTCACCTTTAAATATATGTAACGTAATCAGTGCTGACTCCAGAGCTAGGGCTGCCCGAGAAGCAGAGCCTGTAAGACAAACCATTTCAGTACAAAGAGTCTGTACGGGACTCGATCCCAGCAAATCCACTGGAGAGGGGCGAAGTGAGACCAGGAAAAGAAGGGAGCCAATAAAAAGGGGGGTCCTGGAGCCAGTCTCCATCGTGAGCCATGACCTCCCACCCAGCATACTTGACCCAGAGGCTCCTGGCTCCACACAAGGCAACCGTACTGCACAGAAATGAGAACTCAGGACACAGTTCTTTTTCATTGGTGATCTTAGGATCTTTAGGACTTTGAAGACTAAAAGGAAGGACTGCTTTTCTCACCTCCGGGCCCTGAGGCTACCCTTTCTCTGCCTCCTCGGCCGGGGCGACACTGCTCTCAGCCCCCAACTCAGGGCCAAATCTCCCAGACGACCTGGCCAGGCTGAAGACTGTGTCATCTCCATCTGGGCCTGTCTCTGTCACCACGACCACCCCCAGACGGGTGACTTGGAGTGGAGGTAGCCATGCTCCCCCATCCTCTCAGGCCCTGAAGCAGTCCTGGAGCCTCAAGGTATAGCTGACCCTCCCCAGTCCTTCCCCTAATTTGCCTGCACCCTCTCCAGACCCCAGGCCTTGCAGAGACCCTGAGATAGGACCCGTGGATATTTCTGCTCTGTTCCCCAAGCGTCTCCCACACTGTGCCAACACTGCGACCGCCCCTGCAAAAGGTCCCGTGCGTTTGCAGAAGGAGCCAGAACGACTGAGCACTGGGCTCTCCCGGCCTCCCCCAGCCCCAGCACCGGCAGGGAGCCCGGTGGCCTGGAAAAGGACCATTGGCACTTCCCTGGGGGGGAGAGATAAGACCAGGGGTGTGCCCCACTTCCCGTCAGCCCTTCCCTTTACACGGAACTGGGCTCCCGTCATGTCACATCCAAAACCCCAGGCCCTCCAGGAAGCAACCCTGCCTTGATGGTGCTTCCGGGCCGGCGCCGACACCAGGACAGGTGAAGCCGTTTCTCCGGGTCACCAAGTGGTAAGCTGAGAAGGAGAATGGGGTTTCCTATCGCCTGTCCTCTTGCTACAGCGAGCCATTTCATGGCCACAGGAAAAGCACTGGTGGAAAGCCCAGCACATAAAGTTGTGTGTCTAGAGACTCGTCCTATATGGAAGGCGTGGGCCCCAGGCTGGCACTCGAAATACACCTAGTCCCAAATGAGACGTGCTGGAAGCGTGAAATCATGCTGGATTTAACAAAGGAATGTAAAATGTCTCATTCAGAATCTCTCTATTGATACTTGTTGAAATGCTATCTTATATACAGTGAGTTAAATAAAAGAGATTGGTTTTTTTTTTTTTACCTTTTTACCCTGTTAATGTGACTACTACAAAAATGCCCAATGACATATGTGGCTTGCAGTGTATCTCTACTGGGGACAGTGCGTGGGGGGGCTCTGCTTGCCCTCGCTGCCGGGATGGCCGATCCCGCAGTCACCATGACCATGATGGAAGGATGTGGTTTGGAAAGTGAGCTGCACCCGGGAGAAGGTGCTCCCCGGAAGTGCCCACACCAAGGACCGGCACACCACACTGGGAAGAGCATCCCCAGTAGCTGTACGAGTAAGAGAAACTCTTAACCCCATTTCATAGTGAGGACACTTGGGGACGCAGGGCGTTTACTCAGGGCCAGAAAAGACCCACTCTGTAAGTAAAGGAGCTTGAATCCAAGCTCTGGGTCCCATGCTCTCCGCACTACGCTCCTGGGGGGGCTGACAAGCACCAGCCCAGGGAGGGTGGGCCTGCTTCCCAAGGCGGCAGTGGGCCCACGAGAGCCAGCCAACCTTCCCACACGTTCTGAAGACCAAGTCCGCATCTCAGAAGTGTGTGGTGAGGAGAGCTCATGCTAGGGATTGTCCAATTGTCTGTGACACCAGGCAGGTGAGCCCATCAACTTCCCCAAGGCCCCAGGGTCGCCCCTCTGCTCCTCATCCACAGCCACCTCACTCCATGCTTTGAGCCTCCTCCCTGCACGGAGTATGGCTGTGACAGACTCCTTCTTCCTTGTACCTCTGGGAGTAGAGATCATAGGCTCTTTGGCCCCATCGCCGTGGGGAAGCATAGAGAACAGGGGAAGAACTCAACAGAGCCTGCAGCAGGGGAACCCGGGGGCCTAGCAAGCTCTAGGAAGCCCTGGCTCCAGTGTGAGGGTTCTAGCACAGCAAGTGCAAGCTAGACTGCGACATCACAGACACAGAGAGTAGCGACCAAGGGGCTAAGCCCCTCTCCTTCCGTCTGGTTCTAATGTGCCTTCAAACTGCTCTTGTAAGAGCTCAGACAGGGAAGGTTGGGGGATTGCTGGGGTCCCCTCAAAGGAGTGAGTCTGGACTCATTCCCAAACAAGTAAAGGCCACTGGAAAGCAGTGTGCTTGAGGTATAACTCAGGCTTTGGTCCTGGGCCACCAGGACTGGTGTTTTCCAGGGTGACTCAGAGCCGCAGAGGCCCCGGGACAAAGTTCCAGGCACCCCGGCACAAAGAGCCAGGACGAAGACTCCCAGCTCGGGAGAAGGTGGAAAGCAAGTAACACATGGGTGCAATTAACTCCAGCTCACGTGAATAATGAGCACCCCAGGAAAACAAGGCAGAGCGAGGCCGGGTGAGGGCAGAGCAGCGGGGATGAAGAGAGAGAAGGACGCTGGCCCCTGGCCCCCCAGCTTCCGGGCTGGGCTTTGTTTACCTCAAGCACCCTCCAGGGGATCGCTTCGGGAATGGGGACGGCTACTCCGATATCCTCTTTGAAGACAGATCCTGCTGAAGGAGCGGGAGAGCAGGTGTGGGGCTCTCCTCCACTCTCCATGTGTATGTGAGCAGCCTACAGACCTGGATGCTCTGCGGTTCTTACATAGGCAAGAGAGGCACTTCCCAGCTTTGTGACCTTGGCTTTCCTCCATGCGGCCAGGATGCAGAAGGCCCAACCCACACATAGTGACATAGAAAACCCAGAAAATGTCCATATAACAAGGGGGTCTGGGCCTGATTGTATTTTTGTGGGTACAGGAAGCATATCTCATCTCTGAGTTTCATTTCAAGACAGTAATGGGATCCTTTCAAAATATTTGTTATAACAAAGATGGGTACAGAGTAGGAGAGAGTTCAGAAGAACCGGCTGTAAGGCCTTGCTTGCTGCTACTCAAAGTGGTGGCCCCACCGTGATCTCATGAGACGGACTGAATCAGAATCCTCGTTTGAGCAGGTTTCCCAGCTCCTTAAGGTTCGGGCAGCGCTGTGCAGAGGCTCCAGGGTCCAGGTGAGGGGTAACCCCAGGCCCATCACGCACAGTCCTCTGTCCCCAGCCCTGTGGTGGCTGGGAGGTGCCTGGCTGCTAGCACCCCATGGGGCAGGACCTGCCCGGCCTGGGCTACAGAATGCTGGAATAAAGCCAAGCTCCCTAGGGGCTGCAGGTGCTATGCTTGCTGTTTGGGAAGGACCTTGGCAGCAACCACCATGGAAGGCTGAAGGAAAATTCCTTGGCAAGGCTGGCTCCCAGATGGCAAAGTTTTCCTTGAACAGAAATTTCCTCCGAATCAGGCTGGGCTTGGGCTCTGGCATGCCCGTTTCAGGACTTTCTCAAGCTCCTCAGCTGCGTCCTCTTGCAAAGGGGAGCGATAGGGACTGTCATTCCAGACTGGCAGTGAGGATTACACAAGAACGTGGAGGAGCCAGTGAGCAGTGTGGCCCGCAGCAGGTGTCCCGGCGAAGCTCTTGAAAGCTCAGTCGGGCTTTGCGACACTGTGTGCAGGTGCACACGAGTCTGTCTGGGCCCGCTCCAGGAGAGACAAGGGCGACTGGGATCTGGGTTCTCAGCGGCTCTGCGTGAGGCCTGGAGTATGTGTCTCAGTTGGCCTCATTGGCTCTGGAGGAGATGGATGTCTCCTGAACTAACTCCTTTGCTTTGATTCCCCCACCCTGCCTACGAACTAACAGAGCCTGCAGCTCAAGGCACACTTCCCTGCCATGCTCCTGAACCCAGGCAGAGGTGCCTTTGGGGCAAAACAGGCTTGGAGACTGCTTATGTGGCTTCCAAACTCCAACAGTTGGGAGCAAAGCAGCTGGGAAACAAACACATTTGTCCCCCATCTGTTGGGAATTTGTCATAAGCCAAATTCCAAGGAGAGTGGACCAGATGACGGGCCTGCGCCTTCCTCGCTATTTGCAAATGCAGCTGCACATGTGCACCTCGTCCCACAGTCTCACAGGCATAGACAAGGGTTTGCAACGGGAGATGAGCTTGGGCACTCTTGACAAGGCAGGCAGACGCTGCAGAGGAAGGCTCTCGGGCACAGCACAGAGGTCGCCTGGAGCACTGTGGGAAGGGTACGGGCCCTGCAAGATCCACCACAGGCCGGGCTCCGTCTGCAGCGCTATGTGCTGGGTGTCTCCATGCCCTCTCCATCCTGACTGGCCCGAATGGCTGACCTCCCTCCACACCCTGCCCTCTGGCTCCTGGTTGGTGAGAGCCAAGCAAAGAGTAGCAGGACATCCAGAGGACAGGGGAGAAGGAAGGGCTGAGGAATGGATGCTCCCGGCTCCCTCCCTGCTGCCTCCTGGGTTGGCATTGCCCGGGTCTCTCCTCTAAGGCTCCTGCTGGTGACACTTTCTCCCACAGCGGCAGCTCTTCCAAGTTCCCGGAGCCTCTCCTGTCCTCGTCTCCTAACCCTGCGATGCCAACAGCTTGCTGCAGGCTGGTCCCTGAGCGCGCCCCCTCCCTCCCTCCGGGGTTCCCTGTGCCCTGCCTGCTCCGTGGTGGAGGGGCCCTCCGGAAGCACTGCCCCATCTCCCTGTTCGAGTCCCTTACGCTGTGACTGCCAAATCTAACACTTCCCAGCTTTGTGACCTCAGGCTGATGCGTATCTCTAACCTCATGTCATCGTACACGCAGGACGCTTACAAGAGTCAGAATGTGTTAAATGTGGTTGCTGTTGTTGTTGAACTTTATCCTCTCAATAATCCCATGAGACTGGCACACTAGCGCTTTCCCATTATTTATATGGGAAAAGTGAGGCTCAGTGGGTAGGTCATCGGCTGGTAAGTGAAGAGCAGCCATCTGAGCCAGAGCCAGTCTCATTCCAGAGCTCAGCTGTCATCCACGGGGAGCTCCCGCATCCGCACCTGCTTTGGGAATGCAGAAGGGGGTGCGGGGAGGGTATTTCAGAGGAAATGTACAGGCTCTGGTGGAAAGGAGACATCGAGGCTTGCTGAGAGGTGGGGGCTGGAGAGGAAAGCAGGCAGCCTGCATAGGGAGGTGAGAGTTGGAATCCCCAGAACTGTAATCATGAAGAAAGGAAGAGCAGAGCAGGAAGGGGCTGAGGACAGACCTAGGGCGACAGGGATGCCGACAGGAAAGGAGATGGAAGTGACCCCTCCGGGTGGGCAGAGCCTTCCTGACCCTGCCTGCCTGCCTGGCGCCACGCTGGTACTGTAATTAAATAATGAACCTTACAACCACGTGCAATTTGAGGAAGGCAGGGTCCACCCCAGTTCATTTCATAGATGAGGACCTTGAAGCTCAGGGTGGCCAAGGAACACGTCTAAAATCAGTCTTCTGTGGCAGAGCCCGAATCAAAACCAGGTTCATCTGACTCCATAGCCCCGTCTGGGCGAATGAGAGGTAAGCACCCCCCACCCCCTTTCCCCAGAGACCACAGAAGGATGGGATTTGAGAAAAAGAGATACTTCAACGTGGGCACAGCTGATTTTAGTGGAGTCCAAGACACATCTCCTCACTCACTGTACTCACCAGTCACAGGGACATAATCCCTGACTCACGATGCATTTTTCAAACAAGGTTATACTTTCCCCAGCATCTTCCGCCTGTCTGTGGTTTGGTTGTGCTCCCATTCCAGACATGACCTTATCGGTTCTCTTACCTCTGGCTTTCCTCTTGCTAAATACAGACTGCCAGATGATGGTCAGGGTGAAGAGGAGGACACTGAGGATCCCCACACAGCACACGAGCACAGCATATATGTAGAGATCTGAAGGCAAGGACACAGTGGGGCATTGTCAGGACGAGCCACATCGGAGGAGAGGTACCAAGTAAGATAAACTTCATACATTACCAAAAATTAACTCAAAGTAAACCACAAGCTTAAGTAGAAAATATAAACTTTGGGGGAAAATATAGGAGAAAAATCTTTGGGATCTAGGACTACGCAAAGAATTTATTTTTATAAATATATTTTTTAAGGACTTTATTTATTTGTCAGAGAGAGAGAGCACAAGAGCACAAGCAGGGGGAGTGGCAGGCAGAGGGAGAAACAGGCTCCCTGCTGAGCAAGGAGCCCAACTCAGGACTCGATCCCTGGACCTGAGCCGAAGGCAGATGCTTAACCGACTGAGCCACCCAGGCTCCATAAGCAGAGATTTTTTCATATCTGACACTGAAAGCATCATCCATGTAAAGAAAACTTGATCAATTTGATTTCATCAAAATTAAAACCTTTTGCTTTGGAAACACCCGTAAAAAGAGGATGAAAAGACAAGTTACAGAGTGGGAGGAAATATTTGTAACTGTATATCCAACAAAGGACTAGTACCTAAAATACAAAGAACGCTCAAAATTTAGCAGTAAAAAAATAGACAAACCAATCCTACTAGAAAATGAGCAGAAACAGAGATAATTCACTAAAGAGAATATACAGGTGGCAAATAAGTTCACGAGAAGATGTTCCACTTCCTTAGCCATTTGAGAAACGCAAATTTAAACCACACTGAGATATCTCACACACCCATCAGAACAAATAAAATAAAAAAATAGTGACAATACCAAATACCAGGAAGGATATAAATAAACTGGGTCACTCGGCATTGCTGGTGAGAATATAAAATGGTACAGCCACCCCAGAAAACAGTTTCTTAAAAGATACATCTACAAATACTCTTCAACTCAGCAACTGCACTCTGGGGCATTTGTCCCAGAGAAATGAAAACTTCAGTTCACACAAAATAGCAGCTTTATTTACAGTAGCCCAAAACTGGAAACTGCCTGGATGTCCTTCAGGAGGTGAATGGCTCAACAAACTGTGGTCCACACACACCATGGAATACTACTTAGTGATGTAGCAATCTGGAACTTGCAAACAATGATGCTAAGTGTGTATGTGGGGGGGGGGGGGGTGAGATCCCAGAAGGCTACATACTGTATGACTTTATTTACATAATATTCTTGAAATGACAAAATTATAGAAATGGAGAACAGATTAGTGATTGCCAGAGGTTAGGGAGGGAGTAGCTGATGGGGGGAACATGGGTTTGGCTATAAGAAACCCTTGTGGGGTTGGGAATGTTCTGTATCTTGGCTGTATCAATGTCAACATCCTGGTTACCATGTTGTACTATAGTTTTGCAAGATGTTACCACTGGGAGAAATTGGGTTAAGGGCACAAATGGGTACAAGGGATCCCTGTATCATTTCTCAGAAATACATGTAAATCTACAACTCCAAATAATTTTTCTAAGTTAAACCATGACCATATATGTCTCAGTCAATTTGGGCTGCAATAACAAAATACCATCAACTGAGCAGTTTAAACTATAAACATGTACTTCTCATAGGAGCAAGGTGCTGGCAGAACTGGTATCTGGTAAGAGTTCTCTTTCTGGTTTGGGGACATTTTCTCTTGGTATCCTCACATGGCAGAGAACAGAGAGAGACCAAGCAAGCTCTTACAGGGTCTCATCTTATGAGGGCAAATAATCCCATTCATGAGGGCTCCACTCTCATGACACAGTCACTTCCCAAAGGCCCCACCTCCTAATACAGTCATATTAGGGGTTAGGATTTCAGCATATGAATTGGGGGGGGACATCAACCTTGAGCCCATAACAACATACATCCATTTCTTAAACTCCAATGATCAACCTCATCACCAATCTGATTGGTAAAATGCCGATTGCTCAGTAAGGGAAAGGGAAGCCAAAGGCCTTAGTTTATCCTTCTCTGCAGCAAAAAGCTACAGATGTTTGAGCTTAGCAAAAATGTTTTTCTACTGACTTAAATTTCTTGAGCCAACAGGCAGTTATTATCAGCCATGTTCAGCACTCTCCTAAGTACAAGAAATATAACAATGGACATTTAAAAGTCTCATCAAGAAATCAGAGAGCAGTATGGCATTTGCGACAACAAAAGTGTGCACCCAGTACTAGAAACACACAGAGAAGGAACTCAACTGGCGTGAGGAGGTCACAAGGAGCTTCAAAGAGGACTGGAGCTCTGTGCTGAGTCATATTTTAAAAAACACAGAAAATGCAAAAATATATAGAAAGAATAAAAATACAGAGAGAAACAGAGTGAAAAAAATGTATCAGATTATTATAAGTGGCTTCATGGGACCTTATTACTGGCCACTCAAAGTGTTTCTAACTGCTCCCTATAATAAATGAGTATGATGAGCATTCACAAACTCAAACCTTAATGCACCTCTCATATTAGGTTTTTAAGATGAAGTCCCTAAAAGTGCAATTGCTGAGTCAACAGGAATGCACCTTTGTAAAGCCCTTGGGACCTGGAGAAGCAGTTAGTTAAGTGTCCAAACGGAAAAAGCAGCATGCTGGGAGCGGCAGGGGGGCTGGCTTCCACAGTGAGCTAGAGACACAGGTAAGGCTGCAGTCAACGGGAGAGGAAGAGGGAGGATGGGACAGAATCAGACATCTCAGGTTCCTTTCGACTCTCTCTTCCCTGGCCCACACCCCAGGAGGCTCACTGTAGTCTCTGACCCAGAGTCCACGAGGTCCTCCCATGGTCTTAGGCTCAGTCAACATTTTTGCCTAAGTTAGTCTGAGAAGGCTTCTGTTCATGGAACTTAGGAGCCTGAATTAAAAGTAAAAGAAGTAGAAAGCACAGCAGGATAAGGCTGCAGGTGAAGGGAACACCTGCCCTAATATTTAAGGGAGCAGGAAGGTGGGTAGGAAGAGTCTGCCACAGAGGGAGCTGGGAGTCAGTCACAGAAGCAGAGGAAGACTGAAGTTGAGAGTTCTGGAAGCCAAGAGAGTAGATGTTGTAAGAAAGATTCTTTAATAGCATCAAGTGCTGCTGGAAAACATCCACTGGGTTTTCCTGCTCGGAAGCTACTGGAAAAGTCCTGGGGGAAAGCCAATTCTGTGGGAGGGTGGGGGCCGAGCCAGATTAGAGGGTCGAGGAGTTCAGTGGCATGTGAGGAGTTTGAGACAGCGGAAACCCTCTCCTACAACAAAAATCAAAACTGCCCTTCTGTATAGACGCCTGTGTCTCAGATGCGTGGGCTTTGCAGATTCACTCGGTGAGAGCTCTGAATGGTCAGAGCTAGGGGCTTGGGTCTCCATTTAAACAGCGAAACTCTGAGAGCTAGGACAGGGGTCACAGACCAGGTCACAGACAGTCCACATGACAGGACACGGGATGGGCCAGAACACGGAGAACATAGGGCCAGTCCCGGATTTACATGCAGTCGAGCATGCGTAGCCATTTCTGTCTGGCATGAGAGAACGGCAAATAATGCAGTCCCATTGCCAGGCACGCAGACGTGGGGCACGACACAACATCTGCCTCCAAGGGACTCCAAAGATGCCGGCCCCAGGACCAAAACGGCAAGGGCCATCTGGCTTCAGTCTCATTCTTCGTTGGAGAGACAAACCATCTCACTGCATGAAGTTTCTGGACCACTGGAGCAGAGCAGCGTCCTCTACGAGCTCCCTCTTCATCGGAGCCCTTTCCTTGGTTTGGAAACCGTGGCAATCAAGCAGGGACAAGGTCGTGGTGCGAATCTCCCACAAGGGTCCCCAGAAGCATGCTGCAGGCCTCTGTGGCCCGCTGTGCCCCGGCAGGAGGCGAGGGGCTCCGAGAGGTCCACGCTCTGGTTTCAGACCACAGCCTCTACCACGTGGCACAGAGGGGGCTCTCCACAGGCAGCCCCAGCTGCAGACCATAAAACATCTGGCCAGCTACATGGCCAAGCACACAGGCCCACGGGCTGGGGACACTGGCCAGCAGGCACCAGCCGCCTGTGTGCGCGTCCCCACAGGCCTGGAAGCAACCGCGCCTGCTCTCTGTCGCGTTCCTGAAGCTACAGGAACCTGAGCACGCGTCACCTTGCCGGAGGAGAAAAGCTCAAACAGAACTTCTGAGTTTCCCTGGATGGGGCAGCACCCAGCACCCCAGTGTTCCAATTTTTTCCTCTGTTCCAAGAGTTCCTTTTGCGGCATAAAGACAATTGCCCTGTTTTAGCGGCTCAAAACACTGAAACCACCTCCCCCGATTTTCTCTGCAAACAGAGGTAGAACGCTGACCACTTACGCCAGGGTACGAACACCTAGATCGAGCACCGCCTTGCCTCCGAGGAGGCCGCGACTCTGCTCCAGACAGCCGTCCTCCGCCTGGAAGCCGGCCCCGTGCTGCCTTATCTCCGCCCTTCCCTCAACCTCCTTGCACACACCTCTCTAATTATAAATGTTGGCTCAAAGGTTTTAAAACTCAGGCCAGACCGGGCCAAACAATGCTTGTCTGGCGGCGGAATCCAAGCCTTCAGATCCAAATTGAACAAAAACCTCTGCACTTAACCCAATCTGGGGTTAGCTTTTAAAACACCACATATACCTGCGCCCTCAAAATCATTCTAAAAATCTTGTTATGCTCCTCAAACTCATGTGCAGCTTTGGCTTCTGCCATCGGACTTCCAAAGGCACCAATGTCATTTTTAGGCTTGGCTGCAAGCCGCCATGCAGAAAATGTCACACACACCCCCAACCCCACCACGACCCCAGCCGCCCCAGCCCAGGCCTCCCTGAAGCAGATGGCCGGGCGGCAGGCTGGAGTGACACTCAAGCGGCAGGGAGGCCAAGACGGTGGGGGAGGGGGGGCACAGTGAGCTTGTGCCTGCTCCCCACTCCCAGAACACCAGGCCCACCACAGGGCAGGCCCGGCAGAGAGGCCCTGCGATAGGCAGGCAGCACCTATTGCTGGGCAACCCGGAGGCCAGCTGGGACATTCTGCGCTGCTTGGAAGCCCGGGGGCCCCAGCCTGCCTCCGCACACTGAAGGCAGCAACTCGCCCAGACCACCGACTCGAGAAAGCCCATGTCAGTCCTCTACTCTTCCAGGGAAAATGCAAACACCAGGATCTCAGGTCCATGCGACAAACTGCAGCCTTCTATTTTTTTTTTTTTAATCCAGCTTGTAATATCATCTTGCTCGGGGAAAAACACCTGAGCAATAGCAATAGCCCTGAGGGATTTTAACTCACTCCAGCATTTCACCAAGAGGCCCGACAATGCTGGATTTTGTGCCGCGGGCATGTGGTCAGCTGAGCGGAGCCCCAGGGGGACGGCCATCCCTCCGCAGGCCCTGCTGCAGCTGTCCCATCCAGGAACAAAAGGGCAAAGGCCCGGGATCAGGCGCCAGGGAGTTTCATCCGTACCCTTGACCTCGCCGACACCGTGGCTGGGTTAAGAAAGCAAAACACACGGCCACTGCTGCCGGAATCCCGGGGAAAGAACGCTCTGGAAACAGCTGCTCTGAGGCATTAGACATAGTGAGGACTCCAATTCTTTTCTGAAGGGACCTAAGTCTCTGTGTTGAGAAGTAAGCCCACGTTGGGCTACGGATTTTGTGTAGAGAGCCAGGTCGAGAGTGACCCTGATAGTCGATAGCTACACGTGAAGTATAAACCACTATTAATTACACACTTGTTTTAGACATGCTGATGATGCTGCAAGGCATGTTGGGACCACATGCTGCCATATTTCCAAATATATGGAGTCTTGTTTTTTGTACCACGGGTATTTTTTTTTTAAAGATCATTTATTTGAGAGACAGAGAGAGTGCACGAGCAGGGGGAGCAACAGAGGGAGAAGCAGACTCCCCGCTGAGCAGGGAGCCCAATGCAGGGCTCCACCCCAGGACCCCGAAATCATGACCTGAGCCAAAGGCAGGCGTTTAACCGACTGAGCCACCCAGGTGCCCCTGTACCATGGATTATTTCTAAATACAGTCCTTAGACCATTTGCACTAGGGAGACACCCCGGGCCCCAATACAAATGTTGTGCTCCCTTCCTAAAGGCAATAATCAGATTCTCGGTGGGGAGCCCAGAATGCGGGTTACTAACAATCCCCCAGGAAATCCTTATGCATCTGATGATAAACAAGGCTCCTGCTATCACAGCTGCCAGCGACCTACCTTAGGGATGCCCTGGATGTCTCCATACTTCTCCCCCACCATGGGGCTCTGGGTCATGGGGCAGCTCCCAGAAACATGGGGTAAATCAATTATTTTTTCTATTGCTTCACCTCATGAGCAGTAAAGTCACTTTCATCTCCTTGCTAATAAACAGGCATTCCCTGAATGAAAGGCTGAGCGAGAGAGCTGGGGATCATTTCGCTGGGAGAGGGTCATTAAATAAAAAGACAGCCACAAAGCCTGCATAAGAAAAGGCAGGCGATACAAGGAATCTCTACTGAATGAAGTGAAATCTGACAAAGAAAATACTTGATGGCAAAACAATGAATCCCAGTGTCCTATCTGAGTGACACTGTCTGGTTTGCAAACAATGTTCACAATCATGATTATATTTTCCTGAGAGAGAAAGTGCCTCCATCCACTGCTTTTAACTGGCTATTGGAAGAGGTGGGTTTGGATCCAAGCGCCTGTCTCCCCCATGGGGAATGATCTCCTTCCACCACATCTGTGAGTTAACTAAAGGTGAGGGGAAGCCTCCAAGGCACACACATCTCCCTAGATCCGTTCGGCAAGGGGATTCATCATCCATAAATGCCATGCCTTCACTAAGTGTAACCCTTCACAAGTTCCTCATCACCTTTTGACATTCATCAGTTTTTCACTGACCAAAGGCTCTGCCTAAGAACTCACCAAGTACATTCTTTCATGGCTTCTTGTCATAACCCTCACCTACTTTGCAATAATAATTCCTGCCAACTTTCCTCCCTCTCAGTAAGGCAAGGTTTCTCAACCTCGGCACTCTTGACATTTGGGGCCAGACACTTCCTTGTTGTGGGGACCTGACTTGTGCATTGTTAGGACGTTTCTCAGCACCCCTGGCCTCTACCCGGTAGATGCCAGGAGCATCAAAAGGCTAGTTGTAGCAACCAAAAATGTATCCACACACTGGCACATGTACTCTGGAGAGGCACAACCACCTGCTGAGAATCATTGCTCCAAGGTTCCAATCTGAGTGCAGCAGAATCTCCACCCGCGCCCCCCCCCCCCGAGGTCTCGTGAAAACCCAGGTTGCTGGGCACCACCCCTAGTGTTTCTGATCTTGTAAGTGAGGGGAGGGGCCAACACTGTGCCTTTGTATCGGGCTCCCAGGTAATGCTTCTGCTGCAGCTGCTCATCTGGGACCAGCGAGGGCTGCTGCTGGGGTCACCTGGAGAGCTTTTAACAAGTTCCAGCTCTATCAGAATGTCCATAGCTGCGGTCCAGGCATCAGTGTTTTTAAAGCTCCCCAGGGGCTTCTAACATGGGTTGAAAATCACTTGCTGAAGATTCTCAAACCCCAAACTCTGTAAGAAACCGGAGATAAAATTTGTCACAGTAGGTGTACATTTCATTTTCACATTACTTGAAGATCCCTCCCTAAAATCACTTAAAGGTAGGAATTCTGGAGCAAAACAAAACAACCCCAAATTATACAGATTGGAGCTTTGGCCTCTACTCTTTCAAAACCCATGGGCTGACACCACCAGGAATTCCCACCCTATTCTTTTTGTATATATATAGTTTTTTATGTTTTTCAAAAGATTTTACTTATTTGAGAGAGAGAGAGAGAGAGCACAAGTGGGTGAGGGGCCGAGGAGAAGGGAGAGGGACAAGCAGACTCTGAGCTAAGCCCAATATGGGGCTCGATCTCACGACCCTGAGATCATGACCTGAACCGAAATAGTCAAGATTCGATGCTTAACCAAATGAGCCACCCAGGCGTCCCTCCCACCCTACTCTTGAGTAAGTTTAGGATAAGAGAACAACTAAGAAGTCAGGGTCCTTTTATTGGCTAAAATGCAAAAGGAAGTTACTCAAATAAGAGGGATGGAGTATCAGCAGAAGGTGGGAGGGGAAGGGACAAAAGTAGGGAAGGAATGTGTTTCATTTCACAGAGAACCAACAGTTCCAGCCAAGGAGATGCCCAACTGGGTGTTTCACCTGAGATCCCCTTGCTAGGTTTGTCTCTCCTAACAGCCCCCATGGGTGCCAGTGTGAGCCAGGCTGGAGCTGAGGACCTGCACAGAAGCCCCCCGTGTGCTGACCTGAAGTTACCTTTAGCTCATTATACTAACATCACTTCCTATGGACAGAGTGTTCTGCCATTTCTTAGAACGTACAAGGTACGCACTAGCATGCTGACATGCTAGGCATGCGCAACTGAACCAAAAGTACCGATGGCAGCTCCCTGCCTCAGCCCCTAACACACTGAATAAAAGCTTCCTGTACTAACCCCATGGGGAGACAGTGCTTAGAGAACTATCTCCCTGTCTCCTAACTTGTACCAAGTAATAAAAAGTCCTTAGCTTTCAGTATTTTCCTTGGTTTGTGTTCAATTTGGTGTACCCCAAGTGGTGACCCCCTTGAGTTCGGTTATACTTCCTTCCCATTCTATTCCCTTCCTATTATCTAAAAGCTAGGGAGGGGCATCTTATAATAAAGAAACATGCAAGGTCTACCTTCAAAAAACGCCCAGGTCTCTTTCTTTTTCTCAACGGATGAATCTTCAGAAGCTTTGAGGGAAATCACTGTAAGACAAAAAAAGAAATGGCATAGCATGAAGTACAGTAGTTTATGGACCCGGCTCACACTGTGATCCAAAATAATGCCATATGGTGTGGCACTTACATTTATAAAGCAATTTTCCCATTTGCAAAACCACATTTAATTATCACAACTCACACAAGAGGGAGAGGTACAATGCCCGACACGTAACACTTGAGGCACCAGTGGGGGGGAACGTAGGTTGTCTTTGTTTAAAAGCTAATAAATGGCACAGCTGGGACTCAGTACAGTAGAAGTCCCACTTGCCCCACATCCTTGCCAACTAAAGAGTTCCCCAGTGGGAATTCCAAAAACCAAAACATTTATTTGACCATTTTAGTGGATATCTTTCTAAGTAGGGTGCACTTGCCAGACACCCCTAGAGAGAGGAGGCTGAAGTCATCTAACGGCTCAGGGTCTGGGCTTTGAGCACCACTCCATGCCAGACACACACACAGCAGGAAGCATCTGATTTTGAGATTATTTTGTCCACTTTTAGTCGGTAGCTGATCACTGAACTTATTGTGCCTGCTCTCAACAGTCAGAGAAACAGAACTGAGCTACACAGTGTAAAAGCTTGAACGTTACACGGGAAGAGGATGGAACCATGGAAAGGTTCCGTGCAGTAGGTGTACATTTCATTATACCTGATTAAGCTGACCAAAAAAAGCAAAATGTCAAGGAATGAGATTACTGTCCTATAGAACTTCCAGCATGAAGGAAATGGCCACTTGTGGCTACTTGAGAATGTGAAATGTGGCTAGTCCACATGGGCCTGAGGAATTGAATTTTTAATTTTATTTTAATTTAAATGTATATAGTCACCTGTGGTCTGTGGCTACCACACTGGAGAGTTCTAGAGAAGAGAATCTAGGACCCGAAAGAAAGACAAAGGAGGTTGGAATGGAGATTGAATCAGTATGAGAAGTAAGGCATATGGCAGAGATCGTCCGAAACTTTAACTCTATTTACTGTCCCTCCCAAAAACTTTTGTATTATATTGACATGAATTTCAATCTGAATTTTCCATCTTTTTACTCCTCTAGGCCTTATATTTCTTATTGATCCATCTTGCAGATCGCCAGTCTTCCCATCTGATAAACCCACCTATTAATCCTTTTTTATATTTAATTAATTTATTCATGTTTATATATCCCAGCTTCCAGATGAATTTCTCCAGCTTGTCACCTGATTTTGAAACCATATTAATCATATTATTTTAATGCATGTGCCTGATAACTTTCATATCTGCATCACTCATTGACCTGTTTCTCTTATCTGTCTTTGCTTTTGATCCTGTCCCTGGCTATGTCTTAACACTTTTTTTTAACTGAATGCCAGACATTGTATATAGAAAACCTTAGAGATGCTAGGCAAAATTTTATTTTCCGGGGTACCTGTCAGGGTCAGTGGGTAGAGCGTGCAACTCTTCACCTCAGGGTTGTGAGTTCGAGCCCCACGTTGGGTATAGAGATTAGTTAAAAATAAGATCTTAAACATTTTTTACTTAAAAATAAAATCTTAAACTTTTTTTTTTTTTAATTTTCCTGGTAACAAGATAAAGTAGAGGGATAAACATCTAATCCAATCAAGATTTTAACTGCCTAGAGTCTGGGTTTCAGTTTTATATGGTCTGGACTATCTAAGGTTTGCCCTGACTTCAGGGATCCTCAGTGAGAAGCCTAGAGTATTAAACATGGCCCTTCCAGTTGTTAAAATTGCCAAAAGTTCTGCTTGCCTCCTAAGCATCCCAATTGATACTTTCTGCATAGCTTCTCTTAACTAGTGCTGCTTAAGTATGGTTGAATTTCTTAAAGAGTTAAGTGTCTCCAACAATTGGGGTCACTAACTTCTCTATGCTCTATCTAGATAGTCCTTCAGAGAAAAGTTAGGATAGCTAAAATATATATAATTATGTAATACAAATGTATATATGATATATAAATATGTAATTATTACAGTTGAAACGCAGATTTTTTTTTTTTTCCAATTTCTAGTTTTTCTCAGAAGGAAGGCTTTGGTCTGCTATAAGCTGCTTAAGCCACTACCGAAGAACTCTCCCATTAGAACCTAAATTCCTTAAAATATTTCTTCTACCTCTATATCCCCATCACTTGGTAGACTGCTTAGCAACTGGTAAGCGCCTAGTAAATAAATGGATAATCCATTTCTTTCTGAGTGCCCCACAAAGTAGGCAGTCTGGCCCTCCAGGAATGAACTCTTGGTCTTGCATGGAATATTCGATAAGCCACACCATTTGCCCATCATCAGTCCTGCTTAATTTCCCCACCCACAGCTGACTGCCGGAGCAATCAATCAGATTCTTCCTTCAAGAATTTAAACTAAGAAACACAGTATATATGGTTGTTGTGGGCCCTGGGGCTGAAAGAGCCTGTGGACTTCCAGGCAGCAGCCATGTTGGAAAAACAGGCAAGTGGAATGGAGCAGGGGCAGAACCCCCAAGGGGAACCTGGAAGTGAGAGGATTCATGGAGCTGAGGACTTGATCTTGCTGGAGCTCTAGGCTCCAAGAGGGCTGATGTAATGTGGCTGCTATCCTTGCATTCTATGAGCTCCATATCCTTAAACTATCCCCACCTTTCTTCTGAATTAGCTTGAAAGGTCTTTCATAGCTTCAACTAATTGAGCCTAGGCTAGGATAACCATAAAGAGACCCAGTGAGGGCGCCTGGGTGGCTCAGTTGGTTAAGCGACTGCCTTCGGCTCAGGTCATGATCCCGGAGTCCCGGGATTGAGTCCCGCATCGGGCTCCCTGCTCAGCGGGGAGTCTGCTTCTCCCTCTGACCCTCCCCCTTCTCATGTGCTCTCTCTCTCTCATTCTCTCTCTCAAATAAATAAATAAAATCTTTAAAAAAAAAAAAGTTAAAAAGTTAAAAAAAAAAAAAAAGAGAGAGACCCAATGAAGACCATACAGAAAGGAAAAATAGATTATCTCCAAGGACCTGAGTTTTCAAGAGATCGAGCATGCCCATCATCATCCAGAGCCTTACCACTCCAAATGTGGCCCACAGCCCAGCAGTTCAGTGTCACCTGGAGGCCTGTCAGAAGTACAGAATCACAGGGTCCCCAAGCCAGACCTACTGGATCAGAACCTGCCTTTAAACCAGATACCCTGGATCAATCATATGAACTTAAAAGTTTGAGATACACTAATACACACCGGGTTAAAAAAACAAGTTGCCATTTACTGGTTGGGTAACCTTGGGCAAGGTGCTTGATTTCCCAGTTCCTTAGTTTCACAAATAGGGGTGATAAGCGCCTACTCTTATGGGACGTGTGAGAGTCAAATGGGTTAATGTATGTGAAGTGCTTAGAAAAGTGCCTGAGACCAAATAAGCCATTTTTATCCGCAACGATGTTAGCTCCATAAGAAGAGATTTTTGTCTATTTTCTTCACTGCTCTAATTCCCGCACCTAATTCCAGCATGGTCCTTTGCTGTCAGCCCTTTGTTTCACTATGTGACTCTTCAGTCATCCAAATGGTCCACAAGAAAGGCTTCCTTGCCCTTGTCCGCTAAATGTCTACAGCTCAAAAGGGCTGCTATTACCCTAGCAAAGGCAGGTGCCTTCGAATAACTTTTTCTTCATTTTTCATTTTTTCTTTTCTGAAATTGTGGGCCCTTGATGTAGTCACTAACAATGGCTTTGCCTTATCTGGGATACAAGATAACAAGGTCTCCCTAACCAACTTAATGGAGACATGCATTGAAAGAGCCAACAAACTGGGATCCTAAGTTAACAGGGCTCTAAGCAACAAATTAATGGATGGTCCTCATTTCCCCCCAGCGCATCTACTTTATGGGAAAATGCAGCAACTCTGTTTGCATATGATTAGCAACACCAGTCATAACTTTATCTGTTCCATGGACTCTTCCAGAGCTTCAGAAATTTTTCCAAGGTTTTGCCATAACGATCTTGTTTCGGCTGCTAATTCCCTGCTATCTCAAAGTGAATTTGATACATCGTCAAGCCCTGTGTCTGAGTCCACACACTGTAAGGAAACACAGTGTGGGACACGGCCAGGTGGATAGAGGGCTTTGTAGTGGACAAGCAGTGGGTCAGCCAACTTGATTAGCGCAACTCCTTCACGGCCTGGCTGCACAGGGCAGACATAAATTTATAGCAGCCAACCTGGAGACACTGAGTGAAGAGGCCACTGCAGGGTAGATATGGAGGAGGATGAAATGCTTCAAGGAAACATTCTGTTTCACCAAGGAAAGAGTGGCAAATTTTCCAACCGCAGATTATTCATGTTGATACTTTCAGAAATAAAATGCAAGTTTCTTGATCATAGAGCATTTATAATGGTTTCCGATGAATTTAGCCATCAGAAGATTGCAGCCTTTTAAATGAGATTCCATGTATCTATCACTTTCAACTGCATTTGCCTCACCTGGTGATCCGGCTGGACTCTCAGACAACGAGGAGGAAGGCAATAAGCAGCCTTTCATACCCAAAGAGCTGGCTTTTCCTAAGCATCAGCTCAGGGGAGCTCAAAATCCTTACCTTCTAATAGCTACCTATGACTGGGGGGGTTCCCACCATAATCCCTCAAAGATTAGGAATCCACGTGCAGACAGCCTTTTAACTAATGGGTTGTCTTGTAGGGTCATGCAGGGGGGATGGGGGCTCATCCTCTGTGCTGGGTTTCCAAGATTGGGAGGAAGAATAGCACTTCGGTCCCTTCTCAGAAGGGAGCGTGTTACTTGAGTATCCCTGTCTGACCTTCCCTCCTCTCCCACATCCACTCACCCTCCTACTCCCCCAGGCAAGGGGGTTGGGGAGGAGTCCCTGATCCAGGGGAGCTTCTGACACACTGCCCCTCTCTGAGTGAGAGGAATGTGGTGGAGCCCCTGCTCAAGGTAGCCTCTGTCTTGTATACGCTGAGACTGGGCTCTCAGCAAATAGCTGATGAGGGGATGGGCAGTGTGCACCCCCTTGGGGAGGTCTCATTACCCCAGCTGC